CCCCCCCCTTTTTGAGGTGAGGTGTCATGATGCCTGTGAAAATTGACCAGTGAAAAATAAAAACCTGTCCACCATTGCAATGAAAATATAAAACTCATTTAGTTATTGCGTTATCGTTATCAACCTTTTATAGACATCTTTTTTTTCAATTGCTGGCTCAATTTACTTGATTAATTTGATATTTCGAGCTCATGATTCGATGATTGTATCTTTACATCTTTTTTCAAAAATGTCTTATTCATTAAGGTTGTTTTTCCCTATCGTTATCACACGCGGGCGTCTACACGTTTATAACTCAAAATGTGACATACACTTATTTCAATAAAGTTATTCACCAGAAAAGCTACAAAGCTGAGACCGGCAAGGATTATGGGTAGATACATTTTACATGTTTCAACCGCTTCATAACTGTTGATGGACTTGAGATCTTCTACCAGTTACAAGCTCACCTCCTGTTAGCATCCTCAACTGCTGCAGTTTGTGTCAAAAGCTTTACTTATTGTATATGAAATATTTACCATGATTCTCAGCGATCACAGCTTTCTAGGTTTTTGTTGACTAACTTTATTGAAATAAGTATATTTCGTCGTCAAAATTAAAGATCCTTAAATGCATCATTTTTTTAAAGAACAACTCACAGTTAAAATGCAATAGCTACGAGATTTTTTGTTAGCTCTCTTCCAGATATCGGATGACATGATATTCAATGCGAAAACGGTTATTATGCAGTCAAAAATAGCGTTAACGATTACAAAATAACTTTTATGCAATAACTTTTCTATTTGTTTATATTTCGAAATAAATTTCCTGCGAAAATAATCTTCAAAATTCCATGTTAATTAATTGAATTTCAATTGACGAAGAGCTACTCTGTAGCAATGCTATAGCTATCTACTTATTTATTTTATTATTGCTATTCATTTCATAAATATAGAGGATATTACATGGGCGCGCGGAGATACGAAATTTATCTTCAAGCGTTGAAAAGATCTCTCACGAGTGAGCGTAGCGAACGAGCTAGTGAGAGATTTTCAACACGAAAAGATAAATTTCGTAACTCGAAGCGCCCATGTAATATTCTGTTTATCATATAATTATCCATAAAATCGACTTAAGAAGCTTTTTATTATTATAAAAAGTTTTTTTTTTAACTAATAGCTTAAATACACATGGTAACAATATTTTCACAATTGAAAATGACATGTTATTTTCACACTTGAAAATATCAGTTTTTCGAATGGAGAAATATAGATATTTTATGGATAATTATATGATAAATATCTTCCTATATCGTGAGCATCATTTCTTTCTTTTCAAAACGGTCTAAAAATTGTAATGATAAAAAGGTAAATTATACACCGTGAAAAGATGAAAAAACTTACTGACGTTTCGGACGCTAGTCCTTCGTCGGAGTAAACGAGCCTAAAAATTGGTTCAGAAACTTATAAGATAATCAGCTTATTTTTGCCATTTTTTCGATCCTATCCCTTACCATACGAGTACAAAAACAACACAAACTCTTTAACAGTAAAATACTTGTTACCTGTTAAGTAAAGTTTTTTCTTTTCTTTTCTTCTGTTCTTTTTGCTTGCACTTCAGGCCTTCGTAGAAAAAGATGCTTTAAGTTTTCTTTCTAGAGCTGAGATCAAGCAGACTATAGATCACAGTTTACAAAATCCACCTTGTCTGCGTTTACTCGTCCACAAAACTATTTCTCTAGCTCATTAATTATGAAGTGTTTTCTTACATAACTACTTATAAGTATATCTATATCACTTTGACCATCAACATTTTCAATAAAAAGTGTGAAATCGTTATTTTCAATAAAGATATTTAAAAAACATTATATACGATAAGATCGGTTGCTTTTCACTTATTAAATTTTAGAAAATAAAGTTTGATCTTGTTTTTGTTATTATGCAATATTCACAGATAAAACACCTGTCTCCAATATTAATACAGTAACTGCTAGTGGGCCTGCTGTGAAAGAAGCTAGCTTGTTGCAGTTTATTACGATACACTTTTTTTGTTTTTTGTTTTGCTTTGTTTGCTTCTTTTTATGAATCCTTATTTTGTGATTGATATTTTATTTATGTATATATTTTTGGTTTTCATTGTATAAGATACAATATCAATACAGTAACTGCTAGTGGGTCTGCTGTAAAAGAAGCTAGCTTGTTGCAGTTTATTACGATACACTTTTTTTGTTTTTTGTTTTGCTTTGTTTGCTTCTTTTTATGAATCCTTATTTCGTGATTAATATTTTATTCATGTATATATGTTTTGATTTTCTTTCTTTTTTTTTTTTTT